TTATAATAGATCCAAAGGAATACCTACCTCACCTCTTAATCTTCAGGAATATATAACTCGTGAAATGCTTTGATTCACAGCAACATTTGAGAAGCCCTGGAGTTTCTTTAGCTATTCTAATGATTTTTCATCTTTTCATAAAAGAAAATACAAACACAGGATCCACATTTGGTGTTCTTCTGCAAGATTCTTAAACTGAAGTCCACCCACAGGCTTCATAGCGATCTGCAAAGGTCTTAAAAATGGCCAAGCTTTTGTCAGGTATTCAAAGGATGTCTGAATCCCCAGGGCCCAAACTGAAAACCAGACACTGTTAAGAATAACTTCTGGGGCTGGAGAGATGGCTCAATGGTTAAGAGCACTGACTGCTCTTCCAGAGGTCCCAGGTTCAATTCCCAGAACTGCATGGCAGCTCACAACTGCCTAGAGACAAATGTCTGTAATTCCAGTTCCAGGGGACGCAGCACCCATGGCAAAACAACAATGCACATAAAACAAAAAATAAAAATAAAAAATAAAAAAAGAACCTTGAAACTCATTCTGAATTCTCTTTAAAAAAAAGAAAAGGAAAGAAAGAAAGAAAGAAAGAAAGAAAGAAAGAAAGAAAGGGAGAAAAAATTCCTGTATAAGGAGGAATGAAACAGAGAAAAATCTGTTAAGCTCCCAGGCACAAGTGGCCCAGATCATACCACACTCCACAAGCAAGAGCTTTGAACCCAGGGCCTCAAGCTGCATCCTGTCTCTGAGCCCCAACACCAGACATGGTCTCAAAAATAACCTTTTACCTTCTTTTTCTTGATCTAAGTATTTCTTTATGTTTTCTGCTCTATCCATGTAGTCAGAGATTTTCTGTCTGAAAGCACATCTCTTACTGGCATCTTTGGTGCCTACAAATTGAGAAAAAGAACAGGGATTTTTGTCAAGTTTCCCACAAATTCTCTGCCATTTATGAATGTGCTCTAACCCAGTGTGCTAGAGTGTCCTTCTGTAGTTCTGAACAGATACACATCTATCTCTTGGATATGATTGAAGTGTACCTCCTCCCTCCGAGGTTCAAGAATGGGAAGCTCAGTCCTGTGTAACAATGTTAGGTAATGGAATCTCCAAGCAGTAGAGCCTAGTGGGAGGTGACTGAGGTGCTGCCCTTGCAAAGAATTAATGAGCTCCCCTATGATGCCAGTTATTGCCCACAAACAGTAGTTACATAAGACTGGGCAAGCAAGCAAGACATTTCAGCAGGTAAATGTACTTGCCACTAAGTCTGAAATTCTAAATTAGGACCCAATGGTGGTGAGAAATGACTGCCACCTCCAGATGTACTTTGTGGCATTATCAAGCAGGTTCTCTCTCTCTCCCTCCCTCTTTCTCTCTCTCTCTCTCTCTCTCTCTCTCTCTCGTGCACGCATGTGCACATGTGTTGCACACATGTGCGCGCGTGCGCACACACACACACACACACACACACACACACACTGGACTTGCAGGGTGACAGTGGGTGCTCTCACAAGCCTCCTACCATTGTGATATCCCTGTCCCCAGCCTGCTAGGCTGCTGTTAGCTCCCAAGCCCTACAAAGCAGCTCACTATGGGAACACACACAGATGTGAGCCTGTCCCACCTTGACTGAAGGCCAGAGAGTTTGAGTTTAACAAGTATGGCTACACACCCTGACTTAGGGTGTGGTTACTTGGTGTTTCGGACATTAAGATGGCCTATAAAGGTGGATCCACTCTACCCTGACCAAGGGTCAGAGAATTCGAGCCTATTTATGCTCCTTCTTCTAAAATAGGAGGTTTGACATAGGGAGTGGCTGTCTTCAACTTGGTCTAGGGTGTGTTCACTGCATATTCCTGCCCCAAACATCAAGTACTTTACCCAGGAAATAATGGCTTGATGTCCCAAGTATTGAAGCAAGTAACTGTTCTGATTGTCCTTTGTGTCACTTTAAAGCAGTCTCTTGCCTTCTTTCCTCCTCCCAGCCCCTGCTTTTGTATTGGGGTATAAAAACATATGAAAATTAAACACAGGCAAATTCAGTATTTAGTATCCACTCAAAGTCCCTCCCAGTGCTGTTCTATGTTTTTGTGTCTTAGTTCTCTCATACCTCTGTTTTTTTTTTAATAATTCTAATCCTCACACTCCTACCCTGGAATGTATGAGTTCTGTCGAAGCTGGTCTTCAACAGCTCACCAAGCATTGAACACTCAATAGCTTTTCTTGCATAAGGTTCCAAAGTCTTTCCACAACCCTCCCCCAAAAACATGGTCATGTCTGTCACCCACTATCCTGGTACCAACTTGTGGTTAGGGTTTCTACTGTTTCAACAAAACACCATGACCAAAAAGCAAGTTGGGGAGGAAAGGGTATATTTGGCTTAAACTTGTGTGTGTGTGTGTTTGTAGGCTGTCCTGGAACTCACTCAGTAGACCAGGCTGGTCTCAAGCTCATAGAGATTAACCTGCTTCTGCCTCCCAAGTACTGGGATTAAAGGTGTGCACCACCACTGTCAGGCTTGGCTTACACTTCTTATGGCACTATGCATCAATGAAGGAAATCATGACAGGAACTCAAACAGTGCAAGAACCTGAGGTAATAGCTGATGCAGAGGCCATGGAGGGGTGCTGCTTAATGGCTTGTTCTTTGTGACTTGCTCAGCCTGATTTCTTATAGAACCCAGGATCACCAGACCAGGGATATGTTCATTCAAATGGGCTAGACTCTCCTCCATCAATCACTAATTAAGAAAATGCCCTACAGAGAAATCTTAAGGGAGCATTTTCTTAGTTGAGGTTCCCTTCTTTCAGACAAATTTAGCTTGTGTCAAGCTGACACAAAACCAGCCACAACACCTGGAGAGAGGACTTGGAGGAGAGGGTCAGCCCAAATAACAATGTTGGTATTTGCTAAGTGTGCTGGATAGGTTTATGTCAACTTGACACAAACGAAAGTCATTTGATAGGAGGGAACCTCAATTAAGAAAATGCCTCCCTAGGCAGGATGGCCCACGCCTTTAATCCCAGCACTTGGGAGGCAAAGGCAGATAAATCTTTGAGTTTGAGGCCACCCTGGCCTGAAAAGAGAGTTCTAGGGCAGCCAGGGCTACACAGAGAAACCCTGTCTGGGAGGTGGGGGTGAAGAGAAAATGCCTCCATAGATTTGGGCTCTAAGGCATTTTCTTTATTAGTGATTGGTGGAGAAGGGCCAGCCCACCATGGGTGGTGCCATGCCTGGGCTGGTGGTCCAGCATGCAGAGCAAGCTGTGAGGAGCAAGCCTGGAAGCAGGAACCCTTCACGGCCTCTGCATTAGCTCCTGCCTTCGGGTCCCTGCTTTGCTTGAGTTCCTATCATGACTTCCTTCAGTGACGGAGTACAACAACATGGAAGTGTAAGCCAAATAAACCCTCTCCTCCCCAACTTGCTTTTGGTCATGGTGTTTCACCATAGCAATAGTAACCCTAAATAGGACAGTCAACCAATCAAAAAATTAATAAATAAATAAAAGAGTTTTAAAAGTTGTATCTCTGTGGATAGATAAAGCTGTTCCCAGAAACATGAGTTACTAATGGTCAATCTCAATGCTGGGAGTGGGCTACCTCCCTAGGTGTTGGTCAAGGAGGCCTGTGAGATCCCCCAAACAGTATAGGAATTGCCACTGCTTTTGGACCACCAAAACTAGCTGGTAAGACTCTTGCTGAACATACCACATGCCTTGGTCACAGGACAGAGAAATAATCAAGCTGGAACTGGGTTCGAAGCTTTCTCATTGGATAGTTCTCATAGTGGTAGAAGGTGCTACACAGGCTGCTGGGGGAAAATTGTCTTATTCAATCATACACTGTGTTAGAACCAACCAGCAGGGCCAAATAAGCCCATTGGTCCAATAGTGGCATGATGTTATATGTTACAGAACATATGGCATATGTTATAGGGTACCGAACTGCTTTCTGATTGGATCTGATGCCTGCCTGACAGGAGAAAATTCACATCGGATTAAATGTACAAGACCCTGGAGGTCATAGGTTCTGGGGGGTGGAGTGCCTCCTGTGGTTTTATTACTTTCATCCCCAGGCTTGGGGAACATCCCAGAAGAAAGAGCAGAAGGAATAAGAGCCAGAGGAGGAGTGGGACGGACTCGAGACTTTCTAGCATGTTGCTCTCTAACTCACAGCAGCTTTAATTACCTGTACAAGATCACCACAAACTTGGGCCTGTTAGCAGTTATGAAAGAGGTAGAGGTTCAAGCCCGCCCCCCCATCTTTATATGTGTGTGTGTGTATGTGTGTTTATAAATTGTTGATGGGGAGGAGAGAGTCTATTCAGTGATGTAGTCACTGGTAAGTTGCACATATTCCTGTAAACAAATTTCCACCCTAATGAAACCCACTGGGTCATAGTAGGGGTAGAAAGGAGAGACAGAGAGAGTAATGGAAAGAAAAATCCTGTCGCAAACTGACAACAACAAAAAATAAGATTCATTCAAATGCAGGACCTAGCAAGGCTTATGTCTTCTATTTATGTCTCTTATGTTTCAGAATAATGACCTATGCTCCTTCGTGATAATATCAATTTAATATGAAGGCCACCACCTCCGTTGTCCAATAGAATATCAGAGTATAGCTCCCGAATTTGAATGCTTAGTAAGTTTCGTTTTCTTAAGTTTCACACTGTCCCAAATAGAGCAGGAAACCGAAACTAGCTCACCTTTTAGAACCTGCAGGAGCATATCAATCCCCTCCTGGTAACACACCAGAGCCTGCTGGTACCGGGACTCCGCATCCAGCTCCACTGCCCGCTTTAGCACCGCCACCGCAGCGGTGCTGTCGGGATCCTGCCCCAGGTTGGACTTGGCCATCACAGCGAGAACTCCTGAGGCTCTGCCAGACTTTCCCACGGCTAGTCCCCCACCCGGGAAGCGCACACGTGACACCGCTGCGCCTGCGCAGTCTTCTGTGGCGCTTTGTGAATGGGAGGTCCCGGGGGCAGAGCGGAGAATAAAAAAAAAAAAAAAAAAAAAAAACCATTGCCGGAACCAAAGAGCTGTGCACCCCGTGATGGCAACGGCGCGGTGTGAGTGTTGCACTGAGTCCGCTTACCTCCGTTCCGCTTCTTCCGGCTGCACCGAGAGGTCGCAGGTGAGTCGGGTTGCTGGAGTTATAGGCGTTGTGTGTTTTCACGTAGGCTTTCTCTGCAGATATTGACTTCCTTTCGCTTGGAGTTCCCGGCGACGTAACTAGGTGTGTGTCCAGGACCGGTTTCTTGGGCTTCTAAAAGCGGTCGGATTGTTACTTTATTCGCGGGTTACTGGGTCGCGCGTCTCTTTGAGAGCCTCACTCTTGTAGCTCTCTGCCTGAGCCATCCAAGCCTGTCTGCTCGGGAATGTCTGTAGCTTTTCCAGTGTTCGTCTGGTTTATAACTCTAGGACACTCATTGAGCATCAGTGAAAAAAAAATCTAAAGAAGGCAAAACTTAATTTTCAGTTACTGCGACTCAGAATGCAGGTTTTTTGTTTGTTTTGTTTACAGTTGCTGTTTACTAAAGACAATGATTTTGCAAGCTGCTTTGATTGTCCACTCTCTAGCGCCTTCTCTTTTGGCCAAGAGGCAGTTATGACGGCTGCCCACTATTTTAGGCCCTGTAAATTTAGGGAAGAGAGACAATTGTTAATTTCAGAGCCCTCGGTTGATTGGATGGGAAATTCTATGTTTTACATTTTCAGGAATGTTCACAACCCATGTGTATACCTTGTTTCTTTAGAAAGAGAAAAAAAAAACCTAAAAACTTAGGAGCTGGTGTAGTTTGGGGTTAAAGAACCGTTTACCTTCAAAGTCATTGTAAAAAGCAAAACAAACAGGAAAAACAACAAAACAAAAAACAAGAACAAAACTGAAACCCTGTGGGTGAGGGAGAAAGAAAATGGTTTTGACAACCTTCAGATTTTTCTGTTTATACACATAATTCATATATTAAAGAATAGAAATTGTTTATAGACCTTATGTGCTCGATGGTTTTTCCAGTTTGTTTTTATGTGTATGAGTGTTTTATTTATCATGTCTGTGCACCATGTGCACATACAGTGTCCAAGGAGACCAGAAGATTGTCAGAGCCCCTGAAACTAGAGTTACAAACACTTGTAAGCTGCCATGTGGGTCCTCTGGAAGAGCAGCCAGTGCTCTTAACTGCTGCGCCATCATCTCTCCAGCCACGTTTTTCTGCACCAGCACAGAGGAAAGCTGTTGTACAGCAGATGGCGGTATTGTTGCTCCAAGGTCCAAAAGTTACATGCCTAATAAGAGTAACCTACTTTATTAAGACATAAAATATTGAAGCTGGAGAGTACTTTTCTATGTGCAAGGCTCTAGGTTTGGTCCTCAGTACCCCACCCCACTCCCACCCCAGAAGCAACAACAACAAAAGCAGTTAGTTTTGATTGTGACACTGCTAATATCTGTAAGTTAAACTTCAGCAGAAAATCTTGAGGGCAGATGCTATTTTGAGAGGCACACCTGTGACTCGAGCAGATCCAGAACAAAATATAAAGTCCTTGTCTTCTGGCACTGTCCTGTGTTTTGAATGGAGGCAACTGCTAGATGGTAAACTAGCAAATTACAGTAGACCACAGTATTCTGTAAGGCAAGGGATTAAGAGTGCTAGCAGCAGTGTGGCTGAAGATGTTAAATGATTCGGTGGAGGTAGGCCTTACTCCATAGAAGATAATGGTGGAACTGAAACAGTGTGATCGAGGTAGACCTTGTTGCTAAGGATTGAGCCAAAAACTGAAAAAGAAAGGCTTGTCCGTGTCATTCCAGATAGTCAAAGGGGAGAAGCACCCTGCTTGGCTGGTTCTGGGTCATGCACAAAGCCAGATACTCTGATGAAGAGAGAAAATAGTAGGAGATGGAAGGAGACTATGGGGGAAGATGGGTGGAGATTGGCAGTGATACGCAATGGCTTGGGATGTGTGTTAAGGACTTGGATTTTCATCTTGGTATAAGTGGAGAGACACTGGAGACAGTACTCACTCTTGAGCCTGGGAATTCATGTGTACCTGGCAAATGATTTTCCTAGTCCCAGTTTTTTTTTTCTTGTTTGTTTTAATGAATGAACTTTACTTTTAGCCAATTTTAAATTTCCAGAGTAGTGGAGAAGCTAGTACAGGGTTCCTATATTATCCGTGCTCAGTTTTCCCTTTTAATATCAAAGATTAGTGTAGGGTGTTCATTACAACTGCTGAACCAAATTGATACATTATTAATATTATTTGCTCTGTTCAGACAGATTTTTTTTATTTAGTTTTGCCTAGTGTCCTTTTATATTCCAGGATCCTACCCATATACCAATGTGGTGTACATTATGCATAAGGAGTGTAGCTCTTGGCTTCCTCTTGACTGGTTTCTCAGGTTTCTAGTTTGTGATGACCTTGATAGGTTTAAGAAGTGAGGTATTTGAAAATGTACTAGTGAAGTGCTTACTGCAGTATGGAAAGTTAAGAGAACTATTGCTATGGCGAAACACCCATGACCAAAAAATGCAAGTCGGGGAGGAAAAGGTTTAATTGGCTTACAGTTCCATAGGCCATCTTTGAAGGAAGTCGGGACAGGAACAGAATAAGCAGGGCTTATTTCAAGTTGACATAAAACTAGTCAGCACACACAGTGACCCTTAACTCGGGTTGTTTTTTCTCTTAAGTGGGGTTATGCATGGACTTGAGGGTGGAAGACATCTGTTTACCTGTCCTGTGTCGAGTGCAGGTGCTAATAACATTTTGTCTTGTGATAGGTTCCTACTATGTAGCTCTGGCTGGAACGCTGTCAACCTTTATCACTGCTGGTGTTACATATCCCTGATCACCTGGTGGAGGTACAGTTTGTCAGTTTGTTTTCTATAAAGATGATTTTCTTCTTTTCTGTACACTCTCTGTAGTTCACTGAAGTGATGAATAGTTTTCTTTACCTCCCCGGGGGACAGGAACCCATAAGAAACAGAATTCTTCTACAGGAAGCGTTGTTTCTCTTTTCCAGTTAGTTTACCCATGTATATTTGTATGAACTTTCCCGCATTTTTTTTTTTTTGCTCCAATTGTAAGCTGATGCTTGTGGCTCCAGTTCTTTCAGTGTGTCTGTCCCTTTAATACATCCCCATGGATTTGCCTTTCTGAGTACCTCCTTCCCCATGCTGCGGGGTGCAGCAGGCCATCAGCTGCTTCTTGAAGCCCAGCTGGAAAGTTAAGCAGCACTGGATGAGTTGGATTTGCAGATGGTGCTTAATTCGGAAGAAGTGTGAGAAAATAGCTCGGGATTTGATTAATTCTGCTGCCGAGCAGTTTTCCCAAGGTCCAGCTCTTCTCAAGTGACATCTTAGACTTCCAGCTATTACTTGGTTCACATCACAGAAGGTTACAGACCTCGTGAGCTAGAATCTGGTTGGGAGGTAGTACAGCACTTACCCTGTTTGGGGTGTAGAGCTACTATTTCTAATGTTATATAAAATAGATAATTTGTGAACTAGGTACTGTTTTCTTTAGAGGGGGAAACGATACACAAAGTATCTGTTCAAGGCATACATATAATTCATGAACCTCATCTTTCTGCTTTCAGTATGCATTAAGCTACACCTCTTTCGTGCCTATCTGAATAAATACAACTTTTTGAGGTTACAGAAGCAATGCAGGGGGCTAGAGAGATGGTTCAGAGGTTAAGAGCGCTGGCTGCACTCTTCCAGAGGTCCTGAGTTCAATTCCTACCATCCACATGGTGGCTCACAACCATCTGTAATGAGATCTGGTGCCCTCTTCTGGTGTGCAGGCAGAACACTGTATACATAATAAATAAATCCTTAACATTAAAAACAGAAGAAGCAATGCAGAAGAATCATTTTTAAAAATACTAGACAAAAAGTGACCTGTTTTTGTGTGCGTGCATTGTGTGCACGTGTGTGTGAAGATCAGAAATGTATACCTTAGACATTTGCCATCTTATTTTTGAGATGGGGTCTCACAACCTGGAGCTTTCCAATTTCGGTTGGCTGACTGGCCAGCTTGTTCCAGGAATGTCTCTACTCCAGCTCTGGGGAGATAGATACAGGCCACCACCATATCTAGCTTTTCCATAGCTACTGGTTATTTGAATTCTAGTCCTCAAACTTGCACAAAAAGTACCTTAGCAACTGGGCCATCTTTTCAGCCCTAAACTCACTCTCTCTCTCTCTCTCTCTCTCTCTCTCTCTCTCTCTCTCTCTCTCTCTCTTTGTAACAGGAAAGTGTAAGTGATCTAGTGAAAATATACTGGACTGCTAGCTAGAACTGGGTTGAGCACATGTGCTTTTTTTTTTCTGTTTTGCATGTTTGAGACTAGACCTTGCTGTGTGATCCAGGATGACCTAAAGCTCAGAATCTTCCTGCCCCCAGCTCCCCAGGCGTCGGGTTATAGGCATGGGTCTCAGCGTCCATCTATACACTCTCTCTTAATGGCTAGCTACCCTCGGGGAAATCGTAGCTTTCTGGAAATGGTTTTTCTCGTATGTATAGTAAGAGGGTACTTGGTTCTGACTTTAAGAGGTAGAATTTCTTCAGTCCTGTCTAGTTTCATACATTCTCTGATTTCTCCAACCAAGAAAAAGGACCAAATATTTTTTATGCGTGCTGTGAAGAGTTTCAGGTGATAGAAACTCCCATTTCCCAGTTGCATGGAATGGGCATAGACTCTAAACTCACTAGATGGAAATAGGATTTCTTGGTGTATAATGATCACCTGTGGTTTTACTGCTACAGAAGGGTTGTAAATCTGTTCATGTGTAATATGTTTGACCGGTAGTCTGTTTCCTGCTTTTCAGCCTCTGCAGAGAAGAATTACTATACTTATGGCTGGTGTTTTGCGTTCAGTATTTCAGAGGCCTCCAGGCAGACTGCAGGTAAGTTTTCTCTGTGTTTCTCATATAACTCAGGCAGACCTCAAAATCACTATATAGCTGAGGATAACCTTGAACTTCTGCCTGCCCCCAGCATTGCAGTGCTGGAGATTGAACTCAAGAGTTTTGTGCATGGTAGGCGAGCACTCTGCCAATTGAGCCACATTCTTAACCTAAAAATTTGTTTGTTTTTTTCTCTCTTTTTGATTACAAAACACACAGGTAGTTTGGTGCTGATGGCGAACACCTTCAATCCCAGCACTTGGGAGGCAGAGGCAGGCAGATCTCTGTAAATTCAAGACCAGCCTGGTCTTAAAAACAGATAGTTCCAGAACAGCTAGGGTTGTTACAGAGAGAAAACCTGTCTCAAAAATCAAAAAAACAAAAACAGAAAACCACACATAAGCAAGTTGCTCTTTTTAAAAGCTCTTTTTGATATAAATTAATTGGATTTAGTTTGTTCTATCTATCTAATGGTGACAAAGATCAAGCTCAGGGCCTTGTGAACATTGGGTGAATGCTGTGGCTGAGACTAAGCTCACTCTGGCTGAGCTGTGTCCTGACCCTTATTTATTTCTGTTTTATGTGCTATTCTCTATTTCCCTAATATTTCCCTAAATATTTTCATCCCCAAAACATCTTTTCCTATAGGTCCAGCAGATAAAAAGTCTACTGCTGATTCCCCTTAATCTCTTTTAATCTTAAAGTTTTAGGGGAAACCCTTCAATTAGGAAAAGCATACATTTTCAATCACAGAAAGTCAGATATACTTAGGAAAAGCAGAAGATAATCTCCCAAATGTTAGGAATGCATTAGCACTTCGTTAGTATTTCCTTCCAGTGTTTAGAGAGTGGGGTGGGATGGCTAGTGCGCACATGGAGACCAGACTGGGCGCAGACCGCTGCAGATAATAGGGAAGGAAGTGTCGGCTACTTCAGGTTAGCTTATGAATTCAGAGGATTTCCTTTCTGATACTTTTGAAACTGATCCCCTAGGAGGATGTGTGTCTGAATCTTGAGGTTGTAAGCTGCAGAAGTAGAATTAGGAGCCCAGTATTTCTGATATATAAAGGCCGGGTGTCCCCTTTCTTACCCCGTCTGGACTTACTCTCTGGTTGTTGGTGTCAGCTCTGTAGTTCAGGGGAGGCTAGAGGAAAGTGACTGTGTGAAAGGCTGCCATGAATCCGTGTTTCCAACTGCAAGAGTGAACTAGGGTTGAGTAGTACAGACGAGGCAGGAGTGGGCCTGGTGATGGTGTTAGGGCAGGAAGAACTCACTGGGGTTTGTATGTTGTTTTGAGACAATATCTTAACCTATAGGTTGGCCCCAAACTTGAAGGAATCTTCCTACCTCAGCCGGCCACTATCCCTACCACATCATTTATTTTTTTTTAATTTTAAACAATCTTTTGTTTTGTTTTACATACCAATCCCCATTCCCTCTCCCTCACCTCCTCCCTCTCCCCCCCCCTTACCCCAACCCCACTCCATCCATTCCTCAGAGAGGGTGAGGCCTCCCACGGGGAGTCAACAAAGTCTGTCACGTTATTCGAGGCAGGACCAAGGCCTCCTTCATGTATCTAAGCTGAGCAAGCTAACCTTCCATAGGGAATGGACTTCAGAAAGCCAGTTCATGCACTAGGGTTAAATCCTGGTTCCACAGCCAGCGACCCCACAAACTGCCCAAGCCACATAACTGTCACCCACATTCAGAGGGCCCAGCTTGGTCCTATGCAGGTTCCCCAGCTGTCAGATCAGCATCAGTGAACTTGGATTTCTTTTACATGATTTTGTTGAAGGTAAATTATTGATTAGTGCCCAGCCTGACAGTGGGTAAACCGGGGTTGGGGATTTAGTTCAGTGATAGAGCACTTCCCAGCAAGCACAAGGCTCAGTCCTCAGCTCCAAAAAACAAAAACAAAAAGACCTCCTTCTCCACAAAAATAAGGTAACTAGCACACACACTTTAACTGGTTGTGGTGGTGCATGTCTTTAATTATAGCATTTGGGAGGCAGAAACAGGAGGATCTCAGTGTTCAGGGCTAGCCTGGTCTACAGAGGAGTGAGTTCTAGGACAGCTAGGGCTACACAGAGAAACCATGTCTCCAAACAAACGAACAACAAAGGGTTGGTGAATCATGACCTCCAGAGCAAATTTGAGGATCATCACTTATCTTAGAAAAATTATTTTGAAGCAGCTACTCCCATTTGTAGGAGGAGGCCTCTAGTTAGTTCCTGGCCGCTTAGTCCCAAAATAATCACACAGAAACTGTATTAATTAAATCACTGCTTGGCCCATTAGCTCTAGCTTCTTATTGGCTTACTCTTACATATTAATTTAACCCATCTCCATTAATCTGTGTATCACCACATGACAGTGGCTTACTGGCAAAGTTTCAGCATGTCTGTCTCTGGCGGAGGCTCCATGGCTCCTCCTTGACTCTGCCTCCTTTCTCCCAGCTTTCTATTTAGTTTTCCCTGCCTAGCTCTGTTCCCCTATAGCTCTGCTATAGGCTCAAAGCAGTTCCTTTATTAACCAGTGATATTCACAGCATACAGAGGGGAATCCCACATCACCCATTTGTTTGTTTGCATAGCATTCGGCATTGAATACCTGTTAATTGTATTGGTGGAGGCAGGTCTTGGCAGTAGAGACTGGGTAGCTCCAGAGATGGAAGTATTTGCCTCCACTCTTTGAGAGAAGGAAGTTACCAACTCGTGAACTGGAAGTTGATGTATGTGTGCTTTTTGCTTTATCATCCCTTAGTGCTTAAATGACATGTATCCATGCAGTGAGGGAGCCAAGTTAACCATTAGCTAGTGTAGATCACAGTACATCAGACATTGGTTACCTAAACACTGATAGGTACGGATTTTCACACTACACAAAGTTCTGAATAACAAGTGTTTTCTGCTGCAGACTGTGAAGAAAGGTGTGGAATCTCTCATTGGTACAGATTGGATTCGTCACAAATTTACCAGATCAAGGATTCCAGATAAAGTAAGACTGTGTCTTTTAAAGAATATTTTCAAGAGTACCTATTTTATAAAATTTCACATTTAAAAAATTATTACATTGTGTGTGTGTGCGCGTGTTATGTCTACGTTTCCTTCTGCACACGTGTGTGCACACGCCCTGACTGTGGAGGTATAGAGAGAGTTCTGTGAAGTCAGTTCTCTGCTGCCATCGTCTGGCTGGGGAGTGGAGCTCAGGTCACCAGTGGTCAGGCATGGCAGCCAACGCATTTACTCTGCGCAGCTCACAGCCCGCTGGGGCTCATTTTCTTTTGCGTTACTGTGCATACGGATGTAGTAGCGTTTGAAGCACTGTAGGATGGTGACTGCTCTGCCCCTGGTCCCGCTGGCTTTCGTAGGAATGGGCTCTTACTATTTCCCAGTCTATGTGTTCCTGATTATGATTTTCCCTTTGTATGCTGTGGTTTTTATCACCACTGTCCTGAGAAAGCGGTGAGTCCCATTGAGACTATCGTGTGACTTCCTATGTGAACTATTGCCGATTGACTCTGATCTTTCTTTTTTCTTTTTAAGTTTAGATAACACCGACTAAGCCCTCATTAATTTTTGTTTTGTCTTGTTTTCATTTTGTTTGGATTTTACTTGCTTTTTTGCTCTTTGATTAATTAAACTTTGTTTGGTAAGGTAGTTTAATTATATAGAAGAAGATGGTCAGAAAATCGCAAGGCTTCTTCTATGCTTCCTCTTTCCAATACGTTTTCCCCAGTACTTAACATTTTGTGTTGATATAGAGCAGTTATTAAAATAGATGAAATAATGAAGGCCATCATTTACAGTAGGGGTCACTCTTTACGCTGTGTATCCTGTGGATTTTCTTAAGTATACAGTATCATGTACTCAGTATCCAAGTGTCACATAGAAACATGCAGTGCCCTAAATGTCACTTGTGTGCCACCTGTTAACTTCCACCCATAACTTCTAAATCCTAGCAACCCGTGATCTTTTTTACCCATTTTGTGGTTTTTACCTTTCCCTGAATCTCACATTCTTAGAATTGTACAGCCTGTGCATAAGGTTTTTCCAACCTTTTCATGGCTTAATCATTTATTTTATCTTATGACTGGATAGCAGTCCATGCTAAGGGTTTATGTGGTTTGCTTATGTTCTCACCTACGGAAGGACATCCTGCTTGCTTCCAGTTTGGGGCAATAATGAAGCTGTGTGAGTACTGTGTGCAGCTGTTGGTCTGGCTCTTAGTGTTTGGTGTTTTGTCTAGATATTTGAAAGCACAGTTGTATAATAAAGACCAGTTAGCCATAGCTTTATGTTTCCTTCTCTACTGTATATTTATTTTTAGATTTTTAAATTGTGTTATATGTGTATAAGTGCTCTGACTGCCTGTGTGTGTGTGCACCATGTGAGTGTCTGGTGCCTGGGAAGGTCAGAAGACCTCAGCAGAACCTGGGAACTAGAGTTAGTATGGCTGTGAGTGTCATATGGGTGCTGAGAACTGAACCCAGGTCCTCTGCAAAAGCAACAGTGCTCCTGACTGCTGAGCCACCTCTCCAGCACCGCCCCTTAATTTTTTTTTTTTGATAAAGTATAAAGGACTGGATTTACCACTTGCCCTCAGTTTCTGTTTGTGAGTTTCTCAGCTCTCGGGAGATTCATTCGCACTGGCTGCCCTGATTGGGTGCTGGAGCCTGCACTGTTCTTCACGTTCTTGCTGTCTAAATCCTTTCGCACCATCTAGGGCTCTTGCTTCGTTCAAAGTTAAAAACCAAACTGAAATCTTTACCTGTGTGGTATTTTTCTTTTCTCTGTCCCTCCTCTCCAGACAGGGTTTCTTTGTGTAGCCTTGGCTGTTCTGGAGCTCACCCTGTAGACCAGAAATCCACCTACCTCTGCCTCCCAAGTGCTGGGGTTAAAGGTGTGGGCCACCACCACCCAGCTGCTGTTTTTCTTGAAGTATGTGATTCTTAAACTTCATCTGAACTCTTCAGTTTGAGGTTGAATATTACATAAAGATTAGGGATGAGATCCTTATTCAGTTTTGTTTGTATGTTGGTGTGTGTTCATTTCTGAGAGAAGGAATAGGAAATGTATAAAATTGTAAGTTAGAAGAGTTACTGTTTATACTTCTCCCTTCCTAGGTGTTTCAGCCTAAACCTGAAGATCATGAAAAATATGGTGGGGACCCCCAGCACCCTCATAAACTACACATTGTTACAAGAATAAAAAGTACAAAAAGGCGTCCTTACTGGGAAAAGGATACAATCAAGATGCTTGGACTGCAGAAGGTATGCAGCTGTCCTCATCGTCACGCCAGTCTCAGTGTGCTCAGTCTCGTGGTGCTAAACCCACACTATGTGTAGCTGTTATTTCTTAGTTTAATGTGTTACTTAGCGTGACCTACTTAGAAGTTACTTTAGGAAGGATATGCCTTCACTTCAATGTTTGCCTGAAGTGGTACCACTGCCTGTTGAATTGATCTGTGCTATTGTTCCTCTTGTTCATAGGCACACACCCCTCAAATTCACAAGAACATCCCTTCAGTGAACGCAAAGTTGAAAGTTGTTAAACACTTGATACGTATCCAGCCCCTGAAGCTGCCACAAGGACTTCCCACAGAAGAGACCATGTCTAGCACGTGCCTCAAGAGCACTGGGGAATTGGTGGTACAGTGGCACCTGAAGCCTGTGGAACAGGAAGCAAAGTCTTGATGTCACCCGGCTGCAGATTACAAACCGCAGTTACTGAGGAAACGTTTCTCATTAAAGTGTTTATCATCAGTCGTTTCCACTGACAGAAGCTGTTGTGATTCTTCCTCGGCATACAGACTTTAGATGTTCTGATGTTACTTGGTTAAATTCTCTCCCTTTGTCCCCTAAAAATTTTACTCCACAGTGGGCAAGAATGGCATTGTCTGAACATCTAACTTTAGACCCCTAACACTTTAACAATTATTTTATCTCTTTGTAGAAACTGCTTTGTTCCTTGATTGCTTTCTCATTGAATTCTACAAATGTTGAAGTCAGTCCTGTGTTGCTGTAACAAAGTACCCAAGCTGGGTAGCTTATCAAACAAGGGGATTTACTTTGGTTCTAAGCACTTAAAAGTCCGAGCTAGAGCAGCACCTCTCACAAGGACCCTCTGCAGGATTGTAGCAGGGTAGGCGACATCACAGAGTTGTTTGGTTTTTTAATTCTATTATTCATTTTATTTTCATGTAAATTAACATTCTAAAAAATTGAAATAGAAACACTAAAGTACAGTATTGCACATGTTGATCTTTGTTAAATGCCCTGTTACTTCATTGAAGAGTGGTGATAGACACATGGGAAGGACGAGGGATAGGAGAGTCACAAAACAACAGAAGACAATAAAACACTGTTGCTCCTCTGCACTTCAAATACAAAGTAAAGGAAAGAGGTCGTACTTTACATAAATACAAGTATAGCTATGATTTAGAACATTATCTCTTTAAGTTGCTCTTCATAACTGATTTACAGTAGCAGTAAGTTTTCCCCCTTTCTACATCCATAACTTTCACCCAATATTATAAGCAGCAATTGAAAAGAACAATTGTTACTGTTACACAAAACCCTCTTAATGTATTATGAGGTTACTTCAAAATATGCTTGGAAAGAATGGGAAACTCACCTGTTTTCCCTGACAGCAGAGTGAGTAGAGCCCTTCCCTAGACCCTTTGGGTTCAGGATGAATGCACCCTTACCTCCCAGCTGTAAACCACCTGCTGTAACACATGACCACAGCAATCATGTCGAAATACTCAGGCAGGCCTTGCACTTCACAAGGTCCAGAGAGATCCGATTCATCCATTTTTATGATAGCTATCAAAAAATAAGTTTTACAATTTCATGAGCTTCACTTATTTAAGTTTCTTGTGTGTTTGTGTATGTGTGTGTGTGAAGTATCATGGTGTAAGTTACAAAGGAACGTCTTTTGATTTTATTTGCCTCTGTTCCAGACCAGTTTTTTAGAGGGTCTCAGGGACATACTATAGAGAGCAGCTTCAGAGTGGGGACAGCATCGGCCATGACATAGAGATACTGCTTACTTCTCAAGATAGAAACCGTGTAAGGAGAAATAGATATGAAGACTTCAGCAGGAATAACATTCACCCACAAGTCTATAGTCACATGAATGTGGAGTTCTGGTTGTCAGGAGAAGGAAAGGTGCTTTTTGTTTTGTTTTGTTTGTTTGTTTTAATCTCAGTGGCTTCTGGGAGGGAAGATGCTTTTGTAGCAGGGAGAGAATCTCGCAAAAGGAAACTTTTGATTTTGAGTAAGAGCTACCCTTGCCTATGGGTAGGGATACATTTTAGACTGTAGGTAGAAATGGTTGTGTTCTACTGACATGGTAGTTGAAGTTTCTCTAAGACACATGACCTCACTAGCCATGGGTGGTTGGTTAGATTTCTAGTACCAGGTACAATTTCCCTTCAGTGAGGAGTTCAACTGACTATGGGAGTCCAGCCCTAGTCAATACATGCACAAAAGGTTCGGGGGACGTCTTGGAAGTTGGGGTAGAAAGAGTTTAAGAGTCTGAAAACTAGAAGTTTGTTGTGGGATTCTATCTCTTAGAGATGATAGGGAAGCCAGGCGGTGGTGGCACACATCTTTAGTCCCAGCACTTGGGAGGCAGAGATAGTGGATCTCCGTGAGTTCAAGGGCAGCCTGGTCTACAGAGTGAGTTCCAGCACAGGCTCCAAAGTTATAGAAGCCCTGTCTTTAAAAACCAATAAAGAAGAAATAAAGAAATGATGGGAAAGCTACACCCACAATGCCTCAACAATATATGACTGTCTAAACAATACCAAGAGACATGCTAACACGAAAGCAGGAATCTCATGGATGGGACAGCAATTAATGGCTGCTGAGATGGAGAGTAATTATTTCCCCAAAACCTGCCCCCTAATTGGTTATCCAGTACAAAGTTGTCAGCCCTAGAATCATAAACACATAAGCAATGCCAAGTAGACTCAGCAGGTTATGTGTAAACATTTATGCCTTTATTTCCCTGTATATAATGTATATGTGACATAATAAAAAGGTGATCAATTTGAGGGGGGGAAACAGGAAGGATGGGAGGGGGAAGAGGGAAGCGATGTCATGTCTTAACTAAAAAAGACGGAATGAGCAAAAGAGGAAGCAAGAGAGTGAAGGGAGGAGGCAACATTGTGACAGCCTGCTCTCAACGATGGACGTTAATCTCTTCTGCCTGTAATGGTTCCAAGATCCAGTCACCTTCCACTAAGTCAACCTCATAAACATCCTACTACATGGCACACAGACATTTGGTGGAACAAACCATGCTCATACCATAGCAGGTTCTTCAAGTGAGTTCCAAAGCTGGCTAAAAGAACAAAGATGCCAGCAGGGGCAGGAAACTGGGTGTGGCTAGAGCAGCACTCTGTGCCTCCGTGTCTGGGACATGAACATTGATGGGTTCGTCTCATCTCTAAAGTACAGAAGTTGATATGGGATGTCCTTCTGTATATGTGTTGCTTTTATTTGTTCTGGAATTGCAGGTCTAATTTAGCCAGAACTGTATTGTTGCACTCTGCCAAACCATTCACTTCTGTGTAAATTTTTCCTGCTGGAGCAAGGGTATGTATGAAGTAAAGGTGGTTTAGCAGTTATTCAGCAGGCCGTGCTGTTTTGCGTATTAAAATGGGTGGAGTTTGTACTTGTAAGAATCCTCTATCAGTAGTTCAGGTTGCTTTTTGAAGAAAGAGAAGAGAGGAAAAGAAATATCTCAGTGAAGTCTTATCCTGGGACCTGGGTTTGCTCCCGAGAAGTCATGTTTAAAAAACTGATCATGCCAGTGCCCCCTCATTAATCCAGTGCTGAGAAGGGACAATCCATAGCTTAGCCTACTTGCCAATCCCAGGCCAGTGAGAAACCCTCACTCAAAAGTAAATAAAGGTTGGTGCATGATAAATGGCAAATAAGGTTGTCCTCTGACCTTCATGTGCATATGCACCAGTAGGTACATACACATAAAGAATAGGAAGAGATGACTCGGGGCTTAAGAACACTGACTGCTCTTCCAAAGGACCGGGGTTCATTTCCCAGCACCCACATGACTATTCACAACTGTCTATAACTCCAGTTCCAGAGGATTTGGCATCCTCACATAGACATACATGCAGGCAAAACCCCAACGTATGTATGTACATACATAAATAAATTAGAATAGGAAGAAATCTCAGATTTTTTAAAAAGATTTTTTAAATTTATGTGTATGCATGTTTATTTTCTCCATATGGCCTCTTATGTCTACCCTAACCCACTGTGCCCTCATCTTAATTTCCTATGTATGCAAAGATCCTATTTTTAAGAAACGTTTGGTAACGTGTATGTGTGTGGGGATATGTACATGAGTGCAGGTAACTGAGGAGACCAGCGATGGCGTCAGACACTCTGGGTCTGGGGTTACAGGTGATTGTGAGCCACCTGTTGGGGGCGCTGAGCACCAAGTGTGTGACCTCTGGGAGAACAGCATGAACTCTGAATTGATGAAGTGTCTCTCCAGCCCAGGAGAATCCTCTCGTTTTCTTGCTCAGATACGTGGAAAAGTAGGAAGTGGTAAGAATTCTAGGGGAGATTCAGTGAGAAGCCTGTAGCAACTCAGAAGGAACCTGCACTCCAGTGGCCCTGTATTTTCCTTTGCCCCCGTAGGGAACAGCTCCGGGCACACCAGCGTTTGCATGTTCATTTGTTAGTGTCCAGTCACAGATCTTAATGCTAAATACTGCATCAGGGCCAAAGTGTCACTTGGGACATCAAGCATGAAACTGGATTTTATTTATGAATAAGCCCAAAGGCAATTGCAATTTTAATTCTACGATTATTGAATGACTGGTATGTATATGGCCTGGAGGAAATGGGAGCCCAAAGACCACCTTAAAATGTTGTCTAGTTGGAGGCCTGCTTGAGCACTGCAAGAAAACGTGTTCCTGCCTACAGTGGGTTTGAGAGCATCTGTGTACATAGGAACCCCTTTGTGTCCTCCCCCTGGTGTTAATGTTAAATGGAGATGAAGAGAAGCCACATTGATGCTTTGGGGTTTTGTTTTATTTGTTTGTTTGTTTTGTCTAAAAAGTCACAGCTGGAGTAATAAATATTAAATTCAACAGCCCACAACTGGAAGGGTTGTTGAGTTGAATATGTAGAAGTGAAAATGTCTACAGAAGAAACAGTCCAGGGCATAGGAAATGGCCCTCTGTTATTGCACAAGCAAAGCTGCTTTTTAAAGCACTTGCTACCCCGTGGGTTCTCTGAGTCAGAAGTGCGGTGATAGCACAGCTGGGTAGACTGCTCAGAGCGGTGGTTCTCAACCTTCCTCGGGCTGCAACCCTTAAATGCAGTTCCTCATGTCACGGTGACCCCCCAACCATAAAGTTATTTTCGTTGCTACTCCTAACTGTAATTTTGCTACTGTTATGAATTGTAGTGTAAAATCTGTGTTTTCTGATAGTCTTAGGCGACCCCCGTGAAAGGGTCTTTCCACCCTCAAAGGGGTCGTGACCCACAGGTCGAGAACCACTGGCTTAGAGTCTCACAAAGCTGCAATAAATAGTTCCTACTGATGTCGGGTTCTCAGCATTAAGATTGAGCAGGGCCCTGCTTCCAGTCTCTGAGATTATTGGCAGAATTCACTTCTGTGTGATTGTAGAACTGATGGAAAACCACCTCTTCAAAACCAGCACTTGGGGGAATAGCAAAATGGATATTACTAAGCACATAAAGCAGTCGTGTAGAGTTCATTATCTTCATC